TTTTTTTTTTTTAACTTTTTTTCGCCATTCTCGATTCTTAATGTTTGCAGTTCTTTTTCCTCATGCTGTATACGATCCTTAAGTTAAATGAAAGCTTTAGGTAGAGTACTGTGGTGCAGCATAGCGACAAAGCCATGTTATATGACTTTCAACAAGTCAGCTAACCTCTGAATCTCGGTTCTGCAATTAGCAAAATCTATATTCAAGAGGGCTGCATCAGCTGCGTGTGGTGTTGCACACCTGTAATCCCAGCATTCTGGAGGCTGAGGCAGGAGGATCACCGTGAGTTCGAGACCAGCTTGCACCACACAGCAAGACACCACCACCACCCCCCCAGCCCCCATCTCAAAAAAAAAAAAAAAAAAGCAGTGGAAGGCTGCATGTTCCCTTGACCTTCTCGCTCGGGTGCTCTCTCAAACACAGAGCTTCCCTCTGCAGACTCTCAGTGGAGATCTCTTTTATGACAGGGCCTGGATGTGGGGTGGGTTCTTATTCCACACTGCCGTCTCTGGCACTTACTGTCTCTGGTGAGGTGTCACTAAAACCGCGAGCTTCTTTGAAGCTTAGCTATCACCCATAACTCTTGTCTATGGAGGTCATCCCTGTAATCCCCCCATAGCTGGACCTCATTTCTAAAGATTCGTAATGTGATTGTCTCCCCAACAGTGCTCCTGGGAGTTTCTGTAGGACCAGAATCGTGTACGTAACATTTCCAATACCCTGACTTCGAAGTTAATTGGCCTCCCCTCCCATAACCGTGCTCCCTGAGCTTTCCACCCTCACGGTGCGGAACCCCGGACCTACCTCATCAGTGTGCTCCACACCCCCGCAGTCTCAATTACAGCCTCCAGTTTTCTAGGTCAGTGCCTCTAACTCTTATTCCAGCAGTAGGAGAACCACCAGAATAGCGAATCCTTGTCTTCTGCACTATTTCTTGCTCCCTTTATGTCATTATAACCATTAACTTGAACACATCATCAGCGCCCTAGGCCCTTCCTCTTTGCCAGATTTATTGGCAAAACCCAAGTGTTATTAAGTGCAGTTCTCTAGCTATCCTACACCTGTGATTTAGCAAGTAAAACACAATTATGTCACCTGTTCCCTCTCAAAATTCATGATAACTCAAGTGAGATCTTAGGTCTGCCCCTGAACGCTACTATTTTTTTCAAACATCTCTATTTCTTTCTTTCTCTCCCCCACTCTCACACACACATCTGGTCATGGTCGGGCTTCTTCAGAGTGGTTGGATCTAGAGTATGTGAAGGTGGGATCGATTCATGGTGCAATGCTGGGATCAAGGGCTCTGGGATTGAGGGTGTGAGTGCCACCCACCCTGAGTAGCCCGGGTAAGATACACGGGATAGGAAGAGCTGTGGTCACCTCTCGTTGCTTTGCTGCCTTCTGCCCGCCATACACTGTTTCTCCTCTGTGATGCCAGTCTGCTGTGCCACCCTGCCTTGGAACCTACCAGTGATGGACGGAAACCTCTACCAACCGTGAGCTAAATAAACCTTTCCCCCTTTAATTTTGAGAGTCAAGTATTCTGTCTCAGCAATGAGAAAAGTAACCAAGACAGCATATTATATTATATTGTATTATATTATCCCACATTTGGCCAACGTGAATCTTCAGACTGGTTCTTTGAAGAAGGTCTAGGCTCATTTTGTACTCTTCCTGTCCCAGAACTGGAATCAGCCATTTCTTCAGGAAACTCTTGTTTCTTTTATCAGGAAGTGGTGTTTTGTGACCACAGCCTGGACACAAGGATATTCATAGCTACTGGGTTGGCCATTGCTGTTGGGGGCCACAAATTCACAAGGGCTAATTCTGCACACTTCCCTAAGGGACAAATGAAGGCATGGGGTTATTGGCATCACCTTTGAGATTTCCCATTCACTCTTTAGG